ACGATCATCTTTCGTAGAGCCTTATTATTGTGTAAAGAGCACCGCCGTCGAGTGTGAGTTTAAATAAATCCCAGGTCATATCATATTAAGGAGACTCATAGTAACATCCCTTGATTATCGTGTGTTTTGTGAAACTTAACATCGTCATCAACGTCACCGTTGGGGCCAGTTTTGAATGGTTGCAATAGCACCGCGATCGTAGCTTGTATGATGTGATATGAGGGGCTTGGTGGCCTAAGAACGACCATTTTTGCTTACTGAGTAGAACATCATTAGTTTAATCGCAAGCCCATCCACATTCAAGATTCGTTAATTGCTTTGTTTGTTAATGTGAATACATTAAAGTAAGAACAAATCTGCATTATCGCGTATTACAGTCGTTCGTTACATACCAAGCGAAAACGTAGTCATGTTTTGTCACGTAGCGTTATGACTCTGAGATGCTTGGTGACCCTGGAGGGATCGTTTTTGCTTACTGAGCAGAAAATCATGGGTTGAATCCCAAGCTCTCCGTCATGACTCTTAAAATGCATAATCACTAAACGAAATGGATATTTTCTTTCGAAAGTCGGTTATCGAGAGATTAAATGCACAACACATAAATAATACATACTTTTGGTTGCGTCACCAAATTGAGGCGAATCCTAACCGAATACCCTACCCGAAGCTCCAGCTCCGTAGAACTTATAAGGGTTTCGCTAAGTCGGTGGCATCTCGTTGAGTAAGTACCACATTAACATTTCATTCCATATCCCTGGTTACGGTAAAAATGAGCGTGGCTGGGAATTGCGACAGTCATGCTTTTGGTATCCTTGTTTAAATTGGACTCAATGTTTACTCCTCAGCATTATTCCTTAAAGCCGCTTGACTGATAATTCAAAAAGAGACGTGAGTGTCACTAGTATCCAATCTACGAAGTATAGTGAAACAATGCTGATGCTAACGCTAACGCCTAATCAGATTTGTTTCTTAATATGAGATAAAGCGAAATTCGGTTGGAGGAACGAGTACTCAATAGAACTAATATTCTAGTTTTAGGAAAGACGTGTTGATTGGAAAGGTTTAACAAATCCTTCTCAAGAGTAGTTACTTACATCGTCGGTGAGGTCACCACCGGGATCTAAATATAGTAACAGAAGGTTGAACAGGAACTTGATCGTAATTGTTTTGTGAAATGAGTAGCTCGGTGGCCTTGTGGCGACCGATTTTGCTTACTGAACAGAAAATCATGAGTTCAATCCCAAGCTCCTTCACAGTGTAGTGATATAATCATATCATATGATATAAAGCGTAATTAAATTCGATTGAAGGGACGGGTACGTAAAAGAAGTAATATTTAAGTTTTAGAAAAGAGGTGTTGATTGCAAATCCATATCAAATCCTTCTCAAGAACAGTTGTTGTTGTTTAACCGTAACTTGATCGTATTTTTTTGTTATACAAGGAGCTCCTTAGGATATCAATTCAGCATATCGTTTACCAAAACTAGATATGAACTAACCTTAGGCTAAAAATCTCTAAAATAAAGATTAAAAAAAAGTTTACCATAAAAAATCCTGCTACAATCCCTATCCAACATGCCGGTGATTTCTCGTGAAAGTGCAGAGGTGTTCTCGGCTTTCATTAAAGCAAGTATTACGTCAACATGTTCTTGTCCATTCCTCTCTTGATCAGCATTTGGACGTGGCCAGCGCTGGTATTGCGTAGCATACTTTAAAAAAATCAAGTGCAGGAGACTAATAGCAGCACAATCTTTGTGTATGCATGCGCTCAAAACTCTCGACGGTGCATAACACCCGTCGAAGTCGAACGCCACGGCCCAACATTGAGGAACTACGGGACGCCAGGGTCGCCCAGGACTACGTGCAGCAGCTGGAAGTTGCACTACCCATGGAAGAGCAGCCTGGCGCAGCTTCTCTTGAAGATGGCTGGAGGGACATCCGTTCCGCCATAAGTAGTACTGCTGCAGCGGCACTAGGTACTACAATCCTGGACCGAAGAAATGACTGGTTTGACGGCGAAACAGACAAAACTCGGTTTTCCGAAGGAAGAAGCGTCAGCAATAAGACGGAGATCACGAGGCGATGGAAAATCTGTACCGCGTAAACGACACACGGAGGTTCTATGAGAAGCTAAATAGTTCGCGCAAAAGCTACGTACCGCAAGCCGATATGTGCAAGGACTTGGACGGTAACCTTCTCACGAACAAGTGTGAGGTGATTGAGAGGTGGAAGCAGTAATATGACGAGCACCTCAATGGTGAAGCAGCAGAAAACGAAGGTGGCACGGCAACATACCTTGGAGCACGCGCAGAAGATGACAGGCTATCGGCCCCTGATCTTCAAGAAGTTGGGGAGGAGATCCGTCGGCTGACGAACAACAAAGCAACTGGTGTAGATCAACTACCAAGTGTCTATTAAAATACGGATATTACCAGATGAGTGGATGGAAGGTGTCGTATGCCTAATCTACAAAAAGGGCGACAAGTTGGATTGCTACAACTGCCGCGTGATCACACTGCTGAGCGCCGCCTACAAGGTACTCTCCCAAATTCTATGCCACCACCTGTCACCATTTGCAAGAGAGTTCGTGGGGCCATGGATTCATGGATGCCCGCGATACCACGGACCAAATTTTCGCAATTCGGCAGGTTCTGCAGAAATGCCGCGAATACAACGTGCCCACACATCATTTGTTCATCGATTTCAAATCCGCATACGACACAATCGATCGAGATCAGCCATGGCAGATTATGCACGAGTACGGATTTCCGGATATACTGACTCGATTGGTCAAGGCGACGATTGAGTGATGTGCGTTGTTCAAGTATCGTTGTTCAAGCATACCACTCTCGAGTCCCTTTGAATCTCGAAGGGGGTTACGGCAAGGTGATGGACTTTCGTGTCTGCTGTTCAACATCGCCTTAGAAGGTGTGATCAGAAGAGCTGGGAGACACGAGTGGCACGATATTCAGGAAGTCCGTCCAGCTCCTTGGCTTCGCCGATGACATTGACATTATGGTACGGAACTTTGAGATGATGGCAGAAACGTACATCAGACTGAAGGCTGAAGCTAGACGGATTGGACTTGCCATCAACGCATCAAAGACAAAATACATGAAAGGAAGAGGTTCTAGGGAAGACAATGTTAGCCTCCCACCCCGAGTTCAGATTGACGGTGACGAAATCGAGGTGGTCGATGAGTTCGTGTACTTGGGCTCACTGGTGACCGCCGAAAATGATACCAGCAGAGAAATTCAAAGACGCATTATGGCAGGGAATCGTGTCTGGTTTGGACTCCGGAGGACACTCCGGTCAAATAAAATTCGCCACCGCAAGAAGTTGACTGTCTACAAGACGCTGATTAGACCGGTGGTCCTCTACGGCCACGAGACCTGGACTGTGCTCGTGGAGGACCAACGCGCCCTTGGTGTTTTCGAACGGAAGGTGTTGCGTACCATCTACGGTGGAGTGCAGATGGATGACGGAACGTGGAGGAGGCGAATGAACCACGAATTGCACCAGCTGCTGGGAGAACCATCCATCGTCCACATTGCAAAAATTGGGCAACTACGGTGGGCTGGGCACGTCGTAAGAATGCCGCACGACGACCCAGTGAAAATGTTTCTAGAAAGCGACCCAACAGGAACAAGAAGAAGAGGTGCGCAACGGGCAAGGTGGATCAACCAAGTAGAAGGCGACCTGCGGACCCTTCGCAGACTACGAGGCTGGCGAAATGTAGTCATGGATCGAGTAGAGTGGAGACGACTTCTTCGGACAGCAGAGGACAACAAGGTCTTAGCCAGATTGGTAAGGTAAGTACAATCTTTTTGTGAGCTGTACGCGTGCTTCCAGACGATTCCTGCTCCGATGTTCTGCAAACCCACTTATAACATCTTCAAAGCATATCCCTGAAGTAATACTCAGGAACCCGCTCTAGCTCACTAGTGGAAATTCATGATAGAGGATACAGCCTTGCAGTTGAAGTAAACTGAACTTTTACTCAAAGTTCCTGGAGCTTCGCTTTGGGAGCTCTCCAGAAATCACATAAAGTTCATTGAGTACTGATAGAAAGTATTAGTCTTTTAGTTGTTTAAAGATTTCAGAATCGTCACTTAAACCTAACTAGGGTCTACTATGAAGTTTTATAGGTTCTTAAGCAAACCCATTTGATCCGACATGAAATCTCCTGAACCTGCTTATAAAGTCCTCCAGAGTCCATCTTAAAGTTTCTTATGTCTTCCATCTACCAACAACACACAAAAAACCAACACTCGACCGTTTTTACTTCTCTGTAGGTACCTCCATCATATCAGAACTTAATGAGAATTTTTGGTTTCTTAACAGAATGATTTATTAGAAGATGCACAATATTGGACACTATTCATATATCATCGCCAATGATGGGGGTTCCTTCAACATAAATTCTGTACACTTCCCCGAGGGCTGCTTAAACTTTCCGGGAGTGATTCATGCGGTCCTGGACATTAGACTAGATGTGCTACGATTTTTGTCAATTTCAATTTGAAAATGTATATGTCCCATATCAGAAAAGTATGCAATTTTTAATGTTTATGGGCTTTCTATTAAAAATAAGTTTGAAAATATTAACAATACGCATTTTTTTGCAGTTTTATAGCAGTTTTTTTAATTTGTTTTGACCATGAGAGGCTCTGATGGGTTAATTTTACCCCTCTACTTCCTCTGAAAGCTAAAGAGATCCACAACTTTTCGATCCGTCTCAAGTTTCTGAATCTACCATTATATAGTCAATACTTATTAAGCATGTTGTGCATTTTTGTTTGCTTGAAAGACATTTTAAACAATTTGATTTTTTTTTGTGTGTGAAAATACTGATTTGGTAGTAAATGATTATCAGTCTACACATATTAGGTCATTTTTCACTTATGGAAGACACCAAAAGCCCTCTATTCCTCAATTAGGAGTGATTTTCTCTCTACGATGAAGTTGAAAAACATAATCAATCTTAATGGAAAATAAATAGAGAAAATAAAAACTTTATTTACTATCACTAGCCTCAATCGTTTCCAGCTTTATCGGAACGGTGACCATTTCCGTTTGCTGTTCTGCTTCCCGGAAAGCTCTCTCCTTCAGCCGCAGGTAGACAATTTCAAATAGCCACGGAAGCACGCAAAGCGCCATGAACAGCGTAAGACAGTGGAACGATATCGAGTAACTTCCGGTCACGTCACGGATGTAGCCGACAATGGGTCCGACGGCAAAAGTGATATTTCCCTGCAGAAACATAAATAACCCGTAGCCGGAAGGAAATCTGCAAACCAACAAAAAGGAAAAACACGCATCATTCAAGCGGCAAGGACGGAAGATGAGTCCCATCAATCATCGAGGGGGATCGGTTTTATGCATGCCAGAATCAAGATTTATGAGCGTCAAAAGTTTATCACACCAGGCTATCGGTTTTGGGTTTCGGTACAAAATGGCACCATTTGTGCCAATACCTACCTTTCCGTGGGCAGATATTCTGAAAACACCAGCGGCAGTGGGACGTGAATCCAGGTTCGCAGGAATCCCATTATGGCCGTTATGATGGCCATACCGTAAAAATCGTAAACGAATAAAAACGCTGTTTGAAAATTCGGAGAAGAAAAAAAATGCAATTGAGAAAAACTGTAAAACATGTTTGGATCGGAAGCAATGCTGTCGATTGGTCCCCTCTTCTGGAAGCGGCCATTAACATATTGTTTCCTCGGGGCAATGTGGGACTTTTTTGCAGCAGAATTTCAAGTGGGTATAAGTAATTACCGAAACGTGCCAGGATGGTGAACAGCGCTCCGGCTAGATAGACGTAACGAGCCTTAATGTTCAAACATGTGCTGGAAATGGCCAGGAACACTCGCGATAGCAAATCCGCTCCGGCTCCGATGGCAATGATTAGGGAAACATCCGGCTGGAAGAGAGCGATTAGCAGGTCACCATTAGTATTCAAAGCGAGGAATTGCATTACACGGTTTTATGAGTATACTTTGCCGAATCCTATCATGAACAAATACATCGGCTGCAGGGTGAAGAACGCCAAGTCCGAGTAAAGTGCAAACGATATGCCTAGAACGATGTTCACGTAAATCGGATCCTTTAGCAGCGTAAGGTCCAGAAAGTCGATGAGCACTTGCCACTTTGTTGCGGGTTTTTTGTCTCTTTCGGTGCTATCGCTGACGACTACCGGACCGGACCAGTTTCCTAGCCCTGGAATGGAAGATGCCCGACGAGATCGATCCAATCCTTTCAACATTTTGGATGCAACATTCTTAGTCGGTTCTTCACTCGGATTTGTTGTCATTTGCACTTCTTCATCGGTGATTTTGACCTTTCTCATGTGCCATTCCACAGGATGCATCACCAGCATTGCCACCAGGGTATTGCTATTGACAGCTGCTAGCACTGCCATGCATCCTCGGAATCCGTAGGCTTCCATTGTTTTCTGTATGAAAATCGGATAGATCATGGTTCCCAGACCAATCAAGGTTTGAGAAAAGCTCATCATAACGACTCGCTTCTCCACAAAATAGGCATTGAATGTGGTGTAGGAAACAGGAATCATCAGTCCAAAACCGGCACCTACATGTTATCAATTAAAAGTTTAGTCAACTAAAGTTCGTTACAACGATGCAGCCTTACCCTGGAATATGCTAAATGACACCAGCAACTCATTTGTCGTCGTAACAAATATCGTCATGAAACTTCCAATCACATACGAAACGGCACCGATCAAGCCAACCGTCCTGCAGGAAGTCTTCTTCATCAAGGTATTCGTAAAAAGTCCCGCGAAACTCAACGCACTGAAGAAACAACTCGTGATCAAGGCTATTGCACTGGTCTCCTCACCGAGGTTGGTCAGGAAATCTCCAAATATCAATCCGAACGATGGCAGTGAGCCCAATGACACGGTGAACATCGATGCCATCCCGATGCCAATCAGCAAACCCCAGCCTCCTTCCGGAGGAACTTTCCTATACCGAACCGACATATCAACTTTGAATCTGCGGAACTACTTCAACCGACTGGTAGTATGACACTAAATTGTTAAATTGAATGACCCAACAGAAGCAATCTCGTCATCTACAGGTGGAAAGTTTTATCTCATCTACAGCCGTTGGAAAGTAGAAGGGCTTTCTATCTCTATCCGTAGCATGGTCTAGGTTATGCGAGCTTAACGATAAACAAACAGCCACCAGGTATCTAATATGCCTGTACTCTGATGACGAATGGACGATTAGAAGTTGTTTTGAGAGCGTGTGTTTCTACCTAGATGATAAGCGACACGCTGGTGGTAACTTGAATCACTTTTCCACAAAAGTAAAACTATTAGATAGGTACCACGAGAAATGGCTTTGGGTGGAAGCCAAACGCTCATCAAAACAGTACCTGGCGTCAACAACAATATGCCGCGAAGGTCTTCCTACGATTATCAGCTATTTTAATCATTATGTTTTTATAGGGTATAATCGCCATGAACTGAATTCTATCGATGAAGGAAACGGCTTGGTTCATTGTACAAATAAATGTATGACAACATTTGTAGCTGTTCAATGCATTTCAGCTGTTGCGACTTAACGCAGTTTCATTACTATATGTTTTGCATATATATAGGATGTTCCAGAAAGCATAATCACACTTTAACACGCCGTCATTCTTTTCCTGCTGACGTTTAGAAGCTGTTCATCGACATGTGTGTTTAGTTATTGCTCAACAATCACTCTGCACTCTGCTGAACGTTCAATTTGATTTTTCGAGGTCATCAAAATGCGAGACATTTTCCCGGAAAATCCAAACAGATCCCAATGCTGAAAATACGCTTGAAATTACTCACAAAATTATTGCTTGTTATGGTGTGACTGTAAACCCTGATGCAATAGCTTCGGCTACCAGATTAATGGGAAAAAAAATAAACCAAAAACCCCTTTGGTTCCTATTCGCGTAGTTTTTAAAGATGAAGATACTAAAGAATTTCTATTTTCAAAAAAAAAAAGCAATGTGGGAAGTTACTGTCATCATCAATCGATCCCAGTTTTATGATCAATGGTAATCCAACAACCGTCACTATTCGCGATGAACTGACCCCACTGTCTATGGAACTTTTAACCGAAATGAGAAAGTATCAAGAAAGTTTATAACTAAAATTTGTTTGGTCCAGTAGAGGAGGGAATATATTAGTGAAGAAGAATGAACATTCTTAACCCGAGATAATAAAGACTAGGGATAATTGAATTGAATTGGTTAACCGTTATGCTGCCCATAAAAGCATAACTGTCCCATATGAATAGGACATCAAGCAAAGATGGGACAATTATGCGAGTATCGGCAGTATAGTGGAAACTCCATCTCAGTAAATAATTCTAATTCTTCTTTTTTTTTCCTTTGGTTTGTTTTTTCCGTCGATCTTGTTTTCCGTGCTGAGCACCAATGCTACCGACGTGCCAAGAAGGCAGCTTCCACAGCTGGACCCTACCTATCGACCCATCAACTCATGAACCGGGGACCAACGGCTTTACTTCCCATCCGAAGGAAGGCGTGATCAGAGATGTTATGCCTCAGAACATTCCGGTGGCGCCGACTGGGATTGAACCCAGGCCTGCTGGGGTTAGAGGTAATCACGCTTACCACTACACCACCAGTGCCGTTTATAATTCTAATTCTAATAAGTAAGCGTTTATGAATGTATGGTTCTTTGTCAACTTTGAAAAATCAGTGTTCACTAGGCTGTCGACAGAAGCAGACCACTCTCAATGTGTGTCACGCGATCTGTTTACTCGACAGCAACCATTGTGTGGTCCTCCTCATTGTTCTTCATCAGCAGTTCTTTCAGTCGAAGCGTCGTCGACTTTGCAAAGCAACCGTTTCGTGATGAATGTGTGAGTGCTGACCACGTTTTGCGTCCATTGCTACAATGGAAGCGCTCTGACCCTCGTTGGCGAATCTGCCATACAAGTAAACCACTGGAAGCGGCTCCCGTTCTGGTAGAGGAGGCTTATTGGATAGCGGAAGATAAAATGTTTATTGTGTTGTACCTTTTGACTATAGTTTTAAGATGTATTGTATACTGAACAAGAATCCTCGGCTCTGTAAAGTTTATTCAGTAGATAAAATAATAATAATAAAAAAAAACTTTGAAAATAAACAATAAAATAGCTAATAAAATAAATTGTTACCATGATTGTATTGATGAATTTAATCGAAATTATCACGAATACGGTGGTAATTTTCTTCGGAACACAATGCAACATAAGGGGAATGAATGTTTTTATTATTATTATTATTATTATTATTATAGTCACTTTAACGCTCTTAGGTCATTGGTGACTTGTCCGAGGGTGAGATTTGAACTCGTGACTTTGGCGTGAGAGGTATGGATGCTAACCACTACGCCGGGGTCGCCCCAGGGGAACGAATGATCTGCAAAATTTGATAATATTCCTTTGGTTTTAGATAAAATGAAAGTCCCTGTTGATGTTATTGTTCAATAACAATGTGAAACGTGGTTGAAACCTGATACTTGTCCTTTGTTTCGTAAACCCAATTACAATTTTTTTCTTGTCGTGATACGTCCTCTGGTGGTCTTGCAGTGTATGTAAGAAGTGGATTGAATATTAATTTAAAAAAAATAAAGGGTTGTGTCCTAGGCACGACCGCAGTATGACGTAGAACCACGCAAAACTTATGTTTATCGTACATTTTTGACTATTATATGTTTATGAATGGAGCGGGGCAGAACGTTTCTTTTGTGCAGAATATTGAAAAAGGATTGACTTTGGATATTAATCAAATTGCATATATAGAGGTACCAGATATGTTTTACAGTCAGTTGTTGGTAATTTACCAACATAGTATCATCGGATGTATCCCTAGTAGCACGCTTGTCACAAATCAATTGTAGAAACTTATATACGACTTATTTCAGTCATAAACCAGCTGCTGTAACTCAAACCAACGCGGCAAGTTGACGCTCTTCGCGCGTTTTGGCGGCGTTTCTTTTGCGTTCGTTTTCGATTTGCTGTCTGCAGCGTTTTTGCCGCCGAAAAAGCGCGGTTTTTGTACCGAAAGTGATTTTCAGGTGATAAAAAATGACAAAAACGGAAACCTTAATAGAATTGGTTCGAAACTATTTTTTCCAAAGATGTCTGAACTTGTAAATTTAATTTACTGCTCCTTGAAGTTTTATCAAGATATCAGACTGTCATTGGAATTTCTACAATATTTCCATCTAATAAAACTAACTGAATCTCCCCGAAATTCTCCAAATTCTAGCATAGCTTCTATGTAGTTCCAAGAACTTCTAGCGAATTCCAAGCTCAACTTGTACAAAGATCAGTAAACTGCTATAAACTCACTGCCCTTTAAAGAAGCTTCCGAAGGAGAAATCTAAAGTATTTGTGAGGATAGTTGACCCACGATTTGTACAATTGCATATGCTATGCTAAATCTAAAGAATATGTTAGTAAAACTACATTTATTTATAAGGAGGATTTAGAAACTGTAAGTTGAATTCCAAGGAAGGAGAAAACTCAAAGCGATTTTAGAAATAAATTCAGTTCTGAGAATAATTTCATTGAATTTATTAGGAGTATGACAAATGAATTCAAAGGTGAGTTCCGGAGAAGTAGTTGGCCGAACTAATAAAAAATCCTGAGATAATTCATCTGAAATGTCGGGAGAATACTAAGAGCGAACTCAATAGACTGTCCGAGAGTTCAAAGTTATTCGAAAAAATCTAAAAAGATACCAGTATGCTCAGAAATTATCGTAAACACCCAAGAATTCAGTATGATCATTTTTCTGCTTGTAAAAAAAAACTAGCAAAAGCGCCTCTTCTTCATCCGTGTGGGTACCCACTCAAATATCGCCAGTTTGGGGGGACCTTCAAGCAGAACGATGTGCAACCGCACCTGACATGATTTCCCGCCGTTTTTTTATGAATGGGGTGGGGCAGAAAGTTTCTTTTGTGCAGAATATGTAAAAAAAGATGGACTTTGGATATTAATCTAATTGCATATATAGAGGTACCAGACATGTTTTACAGTCCGTTGTTGGTAATTCATCGAATGTATGTTTCCTCTTAAGCCATTTTTTTTTGAAAATTTTGGCTCCACGTGTTAAAAATTGTTTTTACTTATTAGGGGCTGTCCATAAACTACGTAGAAAGAGTTTAAGCAACAATCAATACGAAACTATCGATTTTAAATTGCCTCACTACTTGACTAGCCTATTGGTCCCAAGCAAATCGATTAACGTATCCCATTCTAGTCGAAATTCTAGTACTACACAATGTTTGTTTTGATTTGCTATGAAAGTTTGACAGATAAAATGAGGGGTTAGTGGATTTTCCTATGTTTCGAGGGGTGTATCGATTAACTTGGGACCGAAGATAGTACCAGAGCTGAGCCAAAAAGGTGAGCACGTTTCTTCGGGACCTACTAGTCTTAGAGTTACCTCTATGGTTTAGGGGGAATTATCCAAAGCCCATACAAATTAAAAAAAAAATTCTACGCAGGGGGAGGGGGGGGGAGTAAATAATCCCAAAAAAACTGTCTATGTAGTTAATAAACAGCCCCTAATTGTGTTTGCTTAAAATGTATTTCCCGGAGAAAAATGATCGTCAAAGTCCATGTCTTTTTCGGGCTGTTGTTAAGGGGAGGAGGGTCAGTGTTCACTCGGCTGTCGACAAAAGCAGGCCACTCTCGATGTGTGCTACGCGATCGTCTGTTTTCTCGGCAGCAACCATTGTGTGGTCCTCCTCATTGTTCTTCATCAGCAGTTCTTTCGGTCGATGCGTCGTCGACTTTGGAAAGCAACCGTTTCGTGATAAGAGTGTGAGTGCTGACCACGTTTTGCGTCCATTGCTGCAATGGACGCACTCTGACCCTCGTTGGCGTACAACAATTTGCCATACAATGAACCTACTGGAAGCGGCTCCAGTTCTGATGGAGGAGGCTTTTTGGATAGCGGAAGATAAAGTGTTTATTGTGTTGTACCTTTTGACTATAGTTTTA